TTACGCAGGCAGCCACAGCGTCAGTGCCTTCATAGGTACAATGGCTTTGTCACATACACAAGTCACTTTTAACAGCGGTCTTCCTCAACCTCTAGCTCTTAAAATAGCTCTGCCCCCTGTCCGATTATGTTCCCTGAGTCTTGGGATGGGTGGTGGTGATACACATGCTCCAGTTAGACCTGAGTACTCTAGCACTGATTAATTATCCTTTGTATCTTGATCAGTAGTGAGTCTTTCTCTATTAGCTGTCCACTGCAAAAGGAAGCTTCTCCGATGAGGATTGAGAGGCGCACTTAAGACGTAACCGTTGCGTTCTAGGATTAGGGCTATCCAGACGTGCAGGGCACGTCTTACTCTTTTGAACTTTTATTTTTAAATTACCTTACACAGCAGTAGGTTTTTCATATAATTGTGGGTTTTGGCTACCCCCCTCCTAGTGCATCGTCCTCTTCCTCACTCCCACCCACCTGCCTCCTGAACCCCGCCCCAGCCCTCCTCCCTAAGGTATTCCCCCATTCCTTTGGCCCTTTCCTGATTTCCTGGATTCTGCAGGCACTGCAAGTTAAATCCACAAATCGGAAGATTCAAAACTGGGACACACACAGGAGAGACAGCACATGTATGGCATCTGTCTTTCTGTGCCTGGGTCACCTCACGGAATAAAGTTGTTTTCCCCAGCTTCATCCATGTATTGGCAATTTTCATTTTTCTTTGCAGATGGAAAATTTCTGTTGTCCCACACTTTTATTATTCGATCCTCAGCTGATGGACACCAAGGTTGACTCCACTCCCCAGCATTGTGAATAGAGCAGCAATGGCTAAGGGTAAGCAAGTGTCTCTGTGTTAGCATGTGGAGACCTTCAGTCTTTTACTCTCTGCTCAGAGGTGATTTTACAATATAGATTTTTGCAAGAAAGGAATACAGCCCAAACCAGTGCCCTAATCTCCAAGTGTTTGACCATTCACATAAAGTGACATGACCAGTGATTGCCCCTCCCCCCAAGAAACCGAAGAAAGTCTGTAGTAGTTACAAACTGTCTCACGCCTCTGAGCAAAGGCAAAAGTGTATAGAAAGCACGGCTCTTCATCTTGAGCACAACCTTCCGTCACCCCAAAATGTGGCTTATAGTGTCTGTCCATTCAGAGCAAGAAGATCTGTGAGCTGGTGCACAGGGCTTGGCCCCCTTCAACATGAGCAAGGGGCAACTCACAGAAATCACATCACTGTCATTGGTAAAGGAAAGAAACATAGATTATGCTTGTACAATTAAGTGAAACAGAGACAGATACAAATATATTAATAATTTGAAAAGAGTTCACGAATAAACCACAGCTTTGAAGGTACTCTGAGACACAGGGATGATTTAAGACAGTCAAATCCCTCTGAACTACACGTCTATAAACATGTGTAAGTAAGATCTTGTGAGCAGGCATGTAAGTAAGTGGTGCCTGCAATGTGGCCTGCCACTGTGACTACTGACGTGGGCCACATTTTCACATGCAGCGTGTGAGCCACGTGCCTGCTGTCGGGAGCAGCAAACCAGAAGCAGAACACCCCCTTTCATGGGAGTCCTGGAAAGGAGGAGCATCTCTGGACCCTAGGAGGCAGGGCTAGCGCAGGCGGAGGCACATCACCAGCCCTTGTTGGATCAGGGAGAGTGAGGTTTGATATTGAAACAAACCCTTGTGTACAAAGGGTCCCCAAATTCAAACCTTCTCCAAGAAGAGTGAAGGGTAAACTACGAAACAACAGAACCCCCTCTTGTCTATGTTTGCACGATTCATACTGGGGTGGGGTCGGGTCGGAATGAAGCTCACTTGGTTGAGGAAATGAAGAAATCAATGAAGGCCTCAAGATAAGACTCCCTGTGAAATAGTTGTCAGGGGACTGAGGGGCGTATTTGCTGGCTTCGCATCCACTTGGTTATTCACTAACTGCCGAAATTTAAAGACAAATACTTTAATTTAGCTATAAGCGACCATGACGTGGGTGGATTTTGGAGTTCAGTGAAAAGACTGCATAGTTGGTTTACAAATACTCCAAGTCTATCCAGCTGCTAACAATGTCAAAGCCATGGTTTCCACTCAAAACCTCTTTTCCTCACATCCTTAGCTGTATCTCTATTGGTTAATTCCATAAAGGATTAAATCTTAAGTTCAATATTTTAATAACAGTACTTATTTTATTTTTAAACAAAACTAAAACCAAACCAAACAAACAAAAAGCCACCTCAGTGTTTTGTAATGCTGAGTAAGTGGGTGACTTCGTGTTGGGCCACACGCAGGTAGGCTCTGAGTTGGACCTTGGGAACTTCATGTTGGGCCACACACAAGTAGGCTCTGAGCTGGACCCACCTGTGAGTTGGCTGACAGAGTTCCGCAGTAGACCTTGTATGGTTGTAATGACTAAGCCTTTCTGCTCATCAGCCATGATTAACAGAGAGAAGGCTGTTCAAGATGAACAGAACACTCCCACTAAACAACCAGGTTAGCAGGAATCTGCCACACACATGGTAATAAGCCTCAGTATCTAAATAAGTAGTGAATTCTACTAGCTAATAAGTAGGCATGCGTCTATCTCCTGTGCACGTCCCAGAGTCCTCCTCACAAACTAGGAATTCATTTCCCCAACTTCTGGGAATACTGGCTGTGGGCTGTTGAGACTCACAGCTGATCTCTCCCTGGGAACCGCTCTCGAGAACTCCCCTCCACTAAAGGGAACTGCCTTTCCCTAGAGCACTCCAAGTTCAAGGGATCCAAACCTAAAGCCCAGGGCTCCTGCCTGGAATAAGACAACTCCAGAGGTTCTCCCAGGCTCAGGGTCCCGTGGTTTCAGCCTCTCCCTTTGCCCAACCTTGTTTGTTCATTCTCTGGAGGAGCAGGCAGACTTTGAATGATCTCCCAAGATCCCAAAACAAGGAAGCAGAAGAACTGTGTTCTCACCCAGACTCATGTGACTGTCAGTCCTAGCTTCTATCAGTTTCATTAGGCCCTGGACCTTGTCATACGAGGCCGTCTTTGTCAGCCTCTACCACATCACATATTCTTGTCCTAGCAACCCAGGCCAGCCCCACAGAACTCTGGACTTCCCGCTATACACATGTCCCTGCAGACCCTTGCCTTGTCTTGCCTCATGAAAGTGTCCCCTTCATTTCCCGGGGTTCTTCTTTAAGTTTTTCATGTCCCCTAGTGGAGGTCCCTATCTTCCATGCCCCTACAGTGAGCTCTGCAGTCTCTTTAGCTTGGCGATGCTTAATTTATTCTAACGAGTTCCTTGCAAGCAGGGGCAGTCTCCTAACTCAGTTTTGCCAGTCACATAGCTTTCGTTCAATGGATGAATAAATGAGGAGCTGCTTGTGTAGGTCCTGGCTGAATCCCTGCCCATGCCCCCATGCTGAGGATGTATCTTTTAGTAGCATCCAAATGTGGAATCATTACAACCTTTCTCCTTCGTGGCAGCCTGACACGAACATCTGGATGCCACTGCAGATGCTCAGGGATCCCACCAAACTGTACGCAGTCTCCACACATGGTGCTCACAGGGGGCAGGAAGAGTTCATCACTTCCTTAGCTCAGTGGAAACTGATATGTATTTTTAAGCTCTCTGATTTAATATGTGAAGATATTTCTCTATCTCTACCTAGTCTTAGATCCAACATAGAAAGCTCTTTGTTGAAAACATGCTCTCTCCCCCTATTTGACACAGCACATTTGACTTAGAACTTGCTGAATTCCCATTTCTAGGTCAGAAATCAAATCTAATGTGGCTGCATCAAGCATAGCTGGTGTGCACGACCCTGCACCTGTGTTGTAAGTGGTCCCTTTGAAACATATGTATCGCGGATCGACAGGGTGCACCTCCTTCTCTGAAGCTAAAACTGTACTTACTAAAGAAGGGTCTGGGTATAAATCTAGGCAAGGAACACTATTAACACCAAGCAGAGGAGGTTTGCGGAGTCTCGTGCTCTCGACATAGAAAGCGAAAGCTGGGCAAGGAGCCGCGTGTGCCCTCTGCACAGGAAACACTCCAGTTTTGTTATTGTTCTCAACAAAAATGTCCAAACAACAAAAATCTTTGCTGAGAGCTGCCTGAAGCTAATGATGACATGAAGGTTTAAAAGCCCAGGATTTTTTCCCCTCCCCTTTGTTTCTTGGTTTTCTGTAAATGGAGTCAGGAAGGAGGAAACTCTTTAACACATTAGAAACCGAACTTTCTGGGCCCTGTAGAGATTTTTTTCGTGTCACTCTCACAGCCTCTGCGGCGGGGAGCACGAAGACAAGGCAGTAACGCTTTCCTGCGAGGATACACATGTGACATGCTTTATCTGGCCATGTGTGAGCCGAAGCAGAACCCAAGGCCCTCCTCCCTAAGTGTGGCTCTTTTCCACACGTGGACGTCAGTTCTAAGGACAGAGATAAAAAAGATTTTTATTACTTTGATTAAGTGTACATATGTGTGTTTGTGTATGGGTGTGGTTATCTGAATGCAGGCACCCAGGCAGGGCAGAAGCATCGGGTCTCCCTGGAGCTGAGCTGCCCAACATGCATATTGGGAACCAAACGCACATTCTCTGCAAGTGCAGTGTGAACTCTTAACTGCTGAGCCGTCTCTCCATCCTCCTGCAGGCACCCACCCCCAAAATGCTTCTGTTCATGTTGCTCAGGTCAAATATTCATTAATTTACTGATATACATAAGTACATCCAGCAGATAATATTGTATGCATTATACATATGCACACCCATGTACATCCAGCAGATAATATTGTATGCATTATACATATGCACACCCATGTACATCCAGCAGATAATATTGTATGCATTATACATATGCACACCCATGTACACATATCTTACACACGCACCATGCACAAACACATAGTACAAACACACACCCTCAGGTTTGACAGTCTAATCTGTGTCTTTAGAATATCCACGCCATTCATTCTTCCCAGGCGCCTTCCCCTAAGAGGCCGCAGGGAAGGTGGTTACCAAGGCTACCTTTTTAAACATCCGGGTGGAATCCTCGCTTATCTGCATGAACCGCATGATGACATTGTTCAGATAGATGTCGCTCAGGGTGGCGTGGTCTTTGCTTTCTCTCCTCACTTGGTTCAGGAGCAAATACCAGCAGTTCACTGGAGACAGCAGGTTCTGATCTTTCCTGAGGGGTAAAGGAAGACAGAATTGCCATCATTTCAAAGTGGCCTGGGTCAATCAAAAGAGGTCACCCATGCAGGGGGAGGAGCCGCAGCAGACAGGTGCTGTGATCCTTCTGTCTGCTCTGAGCATTCTTAGATCAGGACATGCCACAGCCTGCAGGAATCCTGCAACTTATCAGGCCTGGAAAGGAAACTTGGAGCAAAAACCTGGGTACAACCTCCTGCCCCTGACCAGGGCCCCAGGTGCCAAGCCTGGACAGCGCTTGGGCAGCTCCCGGGTTTCGCTGCCCACTAGAGAAAGTACTCATGTTTACACGAGGATCTATTGGCTCCTGTCTCACACACAGACTGGTCTGCCCAGCTCACAAAGTCTCCTTTGAGTGTTCAGCCTGCTGCTGGAAAAGAAATTTGGCTAAGCATGCTTTCCACGGAACATGAACTTGAGGTTTATTTATTAATCCCTGGATGTATAACCTCTAGCCTCCAGAAGGCATTCCTGGGGAATCCGAAGGCTCATGAACAGAACCTGAAAGTTTGCTGGCTCATGGCATGTCACGTGTCTTGCTGAAACTTACTGAGCCAGTTCAGATTCATAAATGTTCCTGGTTTATTTTAGATTATAAAACTAAATGAACTGCAAAGCATACAAAATTAGGCGTAATACATATATATTCGAAGAAAAACTTCATCCCAATGCAGTAAGCAACCAACATATCATTTCTTAAAATAAATTAGATGTCCTCTCCCCTCCGTCCCTGCCACAAGTCGTGGGCGAGGGAGCTGACCTTTCCCCTAAGCAGCTGCAGCACTCGGGAAAGTGGGCCCTGTACCCTGCCAGGGCAGCACAGCAGAGCCGGCCCTATTGACACGGGTGCAGGTGAGCAGCCTCGAGACCCCGCCCCTCATAAGCCATATGGTGGTGTGGGCAGAGGAGAGATGCCCCTCACCACTACCTGTGGGGTGGGAGAGCTTCCCCTGCCCCTCACCAGCTGCAGCACTCAGGAGTGACCTCTGCCACCCACCCGGACAGCACAGTAGAGCTGGCCCTGAGGGTCCTGGTGTGGGAGAGCTGACCCTGAGGGCGCGAAAGCTGGAGAACTGGTCTCACTCCTTGCTCATCAGGACCAGGGGTGAACTAGCTGGGGCAATGCTGGAGACCTCACCCTGGTGGTGAGACAGGGAGAGGTAAGGAGGCAGGGGACGGGGGCGGGGAGGTTGGGGGTAGAACTGGTGGGCCAACCAACCCCGCAACTATCCAGGCCCAGAACCGGCCCACCCCAAATCCACCCATCTATGATCTATGGGAGCAGGTTAAGGGGCCCATTCTGAAGACCCAAAGCTGCAGGATCTCCATGACACAGGGCAAGGTGAGGATAACCAAGAGGAGCCCCAGTGAGGGCCCAGCTTCAATAGTGTAGCAGAACAAAGACCTTGAAGCGGATCAGTGACTCTTCGCAATGAACCCTTGCAAGAAGATACGTGAACAAAAGGGTGTACTGTGTGGCTGACTCACCGTGTCATACTATGGTTTCCAGGACAAGATGTTTGCCTTCTTTTTCCTCTTAAATTTTGTTTTATTTTGGGGGTGGTGTTACAAGGGCAGAGGGCAGATGTGAGGGATAGAAAATAGGGGGAATCAAGATGCATGATGAGAAAGACACAGAGAATAAAGAGGAAGTTACAAAATTCAGAAGTACAATTTGTTACTGACTGTAAAAATGAGCCACAAAATGGCAAAATGGCAGCGTTTCTCCTAACTCAGACACAGAAGTGCCATACTCTCTGATGAGGAGTTTTATTAATTTTTCTTTTAAAGTTGTATGTGATATGAAAAGGAAGGGATGAGGGGCGAGGAAGGGGAATACGCATGCCACGGCATAAACACAGAGGTCCAAGCCAACCTCTGATGTGTGCCCTTGCCGTCCCAAGTGTGCTGGTCTTTGAAGTTCTAGGATTTTCCTCATCTTCTCTCAGGAGTGCAGGGATGACAGATACACATGTGCTAACATGTTTGGCTTCTATACAGGTTCTGGGATCATGGCAAGTGCTCTACTCCCTGAGCCATCCTTCCAGTAAGATGTAATGTTTTATTATTCATGAACATGTATGACTGAGCATTAAAGTCAGGGGGAAAAAAGGAAGCCACGTTGTTCTACCATGTGGTATTTTAGAGTTTGCATTTAATATTGCATTGAATCTAGGAAGCTGAGGCAGGAGGATCAAGAGTTTAAGGCCAGGCTAGGCTACACAGCAAGTTCAAGGATGTCTTATAAGGAGATCTCATCTTAAAAACAAAGAAAATATCCACTGTCCCCCAAACACCTACACTGAGTTACAAGTTCTATTTGCAAGACAAAGAAAGCAAGAACAGAGGCAGAAATGAGTTCAGGAAGAAATCCCCATGCACACTGGGATGCTAGCTCTGACCTGGGATGTCTTTTCTCTTAGAACCATCAAGAAGTATGGTGAGCTCATGGCAGGTAAGTGGAGCCTTTCTATTGAGCTCCTCTGTCTCGTCAGCCCCCAAAGCAAGCACCACTTGGTTCATTCGAACTGTGCTCATTCTTTATCCCGAAGCAACTAACAATTTCCTTGAGAATATTTCATATGTCTTTATATTCTCGGTATGCACCCGGATGGAAGCATGAAATGGTATTTCATGGATTGAATAAAAAACGCATTATCACTGTCTTGTTATTAGTGCCAATCACAATATCGATGATAATAATAGAATAAAAATAGAAGGTATCATTTACTGAGACTGGGAACTTCAAGCCAGGTTTGGGGAGGTACAGGTGGGCAATCTTAGCAACTTGGAAGGCTGAGGCAGGAGGATGACAAATTCAAGGTCGGCCTGGACAACTCAGGGAGACCCTGTCTGAAATTTGCATAAATGTTAATGAAAGCGTGTGGGTGGTACTCACTCTGGGCTCTCGCCGCTGCTCGCACACCCTGTCTGTGTGGCTGTGATAACTGTTAACGTCTCTGTACTTCACTTACTTTGTACAACTGGTAAAATAGCACAGCAGGTCTCATGAGGTTACTGTGAAGATGACGTGGGCTGCTGTCTATGCTTAAACGCTTGCTATCATGCCTTGGGCACAAGGTAAGTGCTGTGCATACAATGTTAGCTATTTTTGTCTAAGAGGCTGCTCCGATCGAGATCTGACAGTAACTCTACTTAATCCTTCCCACGGCCACTCACTGTGTCCTGACTGTCAACCCGAGAATTAAAGCTCACCAAGGATTGGATGAGGATGAAACTGAGAGTCCGAGCGAGCCCTCGTGTGGGAGGCTGATCTGAGCTTTACTGGTGGCATTTGCTGTATCTATGAGGCTATGGACTAGTGACATTAGTGATAGTGACTCCAAAACTAAGTAAAGCCAGGCTCCGAGGTCTAGTTTCAACGGGTATGTGCATGACTGTGCTTAAAGACTCAGTGTCTGGAGAGAAGAGAAGGAGCGCTGTACACACATCCCCGAGCCAGCCACCAGTCACAGGGAGGACTCTGCCCTGTCTGTCACCGCCACTCACGGTCATGAGCCACCCTGCCTCCTGCTGGAGAAACCAAAGTTTGGGAGCGTATGTAGTGCACAGACATGCAGTAGTCTGTTCTAACCCAGGTCTGGCTGACGGTTAACGAAGCCAGCTTTTATGTTTCTGACCCATTTCCTCTCCAGTTCTGCAATCAATAACCAATAATGCTCAAGCCAAAGGCAATTTGAAGATTGATATTTATTACATTTATTTATTTGGTGGAGCACAGGCCCATGAGGGTCAGAGGACAACTTTCCGTGGTTGATTCTCTTTGCACCAGTGAGTTCTGGCGAACTGAACCCAGATCATCTGGCTTGGCCTCTACCTGCTACAAGCCATCTTGCAAAACTGGCTACTCTTCTTTTAATCCAGGCTTCAAAGTCAAGGAAGGGTATGAAATGGAACTTCAGATCCCTGAGAAGAAAGAGGCCCAGTTCTCAGCAGCACCCCCACAGCCAGGCTGAGCAGATCGGGGGTCTCTCTGTTGTCCTCGTGTAGGAGGACAGTCTTGTCTTCTTCTGTCACTGGGGTGGGCTGGCCTCTGGACGTAGAGGACAATGAGGAGGGGGCTGACAGTGAAGCTTTTTGCTCCAAATCTTTATCTTGTCTTTTCTTTTTCATAGCTGGCCTTCTGCAGGATTAAGGCATGGGTACTTTTGACAATAACTAGACCTTCATTTCTTTCTTTTCTCTCTTTCTCTCTCTCTCTCCGTTCCTCCCTCCTTCCTTCCCTCCCTCCCTCTTTCTTTCTTTTTTCTATTTTTTTGATCATGGAAATATCCCCTAAATCCTATGGATCCAGGTGTACATTTATAAGAGTATCAATTACATTTTAACCTTCATTTCTGGGGGTTTTATGGCACAGGTGTTTTCCAGGTTCCCTGGCCCACCATGCTTTTGGAAACAAAAGCCCAAGTAGCCTTCTTATTATCTCCCCAACTGGGCGTTCCCCTCTCCCCCAGGTGGCTAGATCAGAAGGCCACACGCCATGCCATGAGAGACCCTTGGTGTTTTTCCTTCTCTGATAGCTTCCTGCAGTCCAAAACCTTACCTGTCACTTAAATGCAGATGTGGGTGGTTCCACTTAAAACGCTCCAAAGATTCTTATGTCCACAGGAAAAAGCCCACAAAGATATGTGAGAATGTGTGATGTGTTCCAATTAATGCCCATCTGATTACGGCGTACTCCCAAAGAACCTTGCAAACCTGGCTTAGAGCCCTTCCCCTACAGTCCTTTACTGATGAGGTTCCCTTCTTCAGTCCCCCTTCCAGCCAGCTAGTCATTATACAGACTTGCATATCACTCTTCCTGGGAGACGGTTCAGGTAGTGTTTGCCTCGCAATCTCAAGGATGTGTGAGTCTGAGCCACAGACCCCAACACTGAGGAGGCAGAGATGGGCAGGTAATACCCCTGCATTGTTCTCTGGCCTTCATAGAAGCACACACTAATGTCTGTGCACCGCTATACATACATGTGCTGGCGTATGTGCATGTGTGTGCACACACATACCCTACTCTTTCAGGACTTTCCCTTCTCAACTTCCATTACAGAACATTTTAGCACAGTCTGTAAATGGAACCCTGTGCTGGTCCCTGTTAGTCACTTATGTACAATCACCTACCTGTCTCTGTGACTCTTGGGTTTAAGTTATAAAGTAAATTTCATGAACCAAATAACCTGTATTTTTTTAATGACTACAAACATGTTGGGTGGAAGTGGGGTATGCTCCCCAGGAACACTAAACCCAAACAAAAGTTGTTGCTTATTTTCTTACAGAATTCACCAGAGAGTGGCGCAGGTCTATAATCCTGGCACTTGGCAGGCAGGACTTTCACAGGTTCTAGGCTCGCCTGGGCTACAGAGTGAGACCTGGTCTCAAGAAATGGCAAGAGAAACAAACAACTCACTGCAGAAGTCCTGAGGCCTTTGCTTGAAGCAGCGCCTGCAAACTCACCCTTTCAAAGATCTGCCAACGGCTGAGAGCAACTTCTTCTCTGTAGCTGGGAATTTTGTAAACAGTGATTTCAAAATATAAACTTATGTCTCTGCAGCATGAGTGGGAAGGGAGAAAGGCTGCTAGAGTGATGGGGACATGATCACCAATAACTGATCGCCTTGGAAATTGACTCTGAACCAGGCCTCTTTCATCCATCTGTCCCTCCTCTCTCCCTTCCTGCCTCCCTGCCTGCCTGCCTCCCCGACTCCTTCCTCCCTCTCTTACCTGCACCCCAGGTACAGAATCTATGAACTCAGGCATGCCCGGCAAGCGCTCAGTCCCCAGAGCAACACCTAGAGCTGAAGAGAGGTCTTACTTGAACTGCTGGTGGTCCTTAGTGCTTCTCGTTTTGGCCATGAACCTTTCCGCCAACTTCTCCAGGTTCCGGGAATATTCTGTCTCGATTTCAGCTTTCTTCCGGAAGAAGTCTTGCAGGTCCTGGAGCAGCTGAACCCGCATCTCCGTCTGCTGCTCGAGGCATTTTTGTTGCTCCACCAGCTGAGCTCGGATCTCTGAGGAGAGACAAGAATCCACGTGATGACGTCATGAAGGTGACCAGGGTAAGCGGGGAGGCGAGGCACAAAGAGAGACTCCTACCACACAGGTGGCCTCGTGTACGGCCTCTGCTGGAGTCCTGTATATTACATCTGTTCGTGCATTATAATAATGTGTACTGCACACATGCGGGCACATGTGCAAGACAGAGTGGATGTGGGAACCAGAAGAAAATCTTTGGGAGTTGCTCCCACCTCTCTGCCATGTATGCCTAAAGGATCAAACTCAGATTGATTGCAAGTACCTCTCCCATTGAGCCACCTCACTGGCCCTTGGTCATTTAATTTTAAGAACATCTGTTGGTCTATTTAAAAATAAATGAGCTGAGACCCAGGGAAAAATACAGCAAATCTGAACAGAAATCTGTCTCAGACGTGCTAGAGCACACACACACACTGAGTCACGAGGGAAAGAAGCTACAGCTTGCAGACAATCCAAACGCTGGGGTGCTGTTGCCATCAGAGCGGACTCTAAACTCGTCAAAGACATTTTACATTAACCACCCCTTTGGGGCCCGAGTAGAAAAGCAATGGGCACCGTCTCTTCTGGACACTGGAGCCGACACACGTGTCAGTTGGCACACTCAGAGACTGACATCTGGCAGTTTTTATTTAGGGCATACATTCCTCATTTGTAAAACACTTCGCTTCGGGGTTTATAGGCATGCCGGACCTAAAAATAACTCCTTTTTATATCCAAATAGTCCATTCAGAACAGGGCAACCTTCGAGTCCAACTTATTCTACTCGTAACAGCAAGGCTGATCTTCCAGCCTTCAGCTTGAGCACACTGTTCAAACCAACACCTTTAGTGACACCCATGATCCTGAGACTCCAGTGACCACGGTAATACTTCAGGAAGTCAAAATATGTGTACCTGCGGATCCAGGGAAAGCACAGAGCAAACACAATGGATACAAACTTGTTGTAAGAAGCCACTGCAGGGAATGCTGTGCTCTGGAGAACAGGTCCCACTAAGCACACACTGCTGGCTGACTTTTGTTCTCAGATCTGTGGTTAGTGCCCAAAGACAAGGATAGTATTCCCTGTGGAGAACCTCTGTGCTTCTCTTTCCCCAGTGTTCACACCTAATCCGAAGAGAGGGCAGCAACCTAGTTCAGTGGAAACGGAGGAATCCTGGTCCAAGAGAACTTTCTTCAGTTCTTCCTAGGATCCCTTCTAGACACAGCTGATGATGGGTACACGGGGGTACACGGGGATTTGCTCCTGCTAGTTAAACTCACTAGTAGCTGGATGGTTATGGTGTGAGCGTAGGAGGTAGGTCAAAAAATTTGCTGACTTTCCTAATACTGAATCATAACATTTACTTCATTACTCGCATCAGCATTGCCTTCACAGTTGGTAAGGTGATGTCCTGGGACCCTGTCTCTGCTCTGTGAGTCTGACTACTGGAATACTTCCTCCATCTTTCTATCCATCCAGCAGCTGAGTAGTTGCCGTATTTCCCAGAGATAGCTTAGCGGAGAGGCCTAAGTTCTGCCCTGAGGTCTGTTAAGGTCTAGGCACTGCTGGAGGGTAGGGGACGGGTGCCTTGGTAAAGGCAAGGAGGCACACTTCATGTTCTCTCTGGGCTGAGGGATCCTCCTCCTAACCTCTCTGGAGTGTGGTGGTTGCCGGAGAGAACACATCAACAGGCTTTTAACCACAAGGAAGGGCATCTGCTTCGCCGTCAATCAAAGTAAGCGGTTTCCAATATAGTATTATAATCAGCGGGGCTGCCAAATGCTTTCTCCTAAAAAGAGGGAGCTATTTTTGTCTCATGAAGGAGAAGAAGAAAAAAAAAATCAAGGATGAGGGTGATTTTCATTCAGGAATTCCAGTAAATCTTTTGAGATGAAGTGATTTTTTAGCAAATCCTGCTGTGCTAAGAGAAAATGAATCAGTCATATGAGGTCCTCCCCATGAGCCACTTCCTCTCGCCTTGGTATCCAATAGGAAATACAAGTGGCTCTGCTACAAAGCTTATCAAAGTTACTCGGCAATTATATGGGCTTTCTTCAACTGGGTATAAATAATTAAAAGTCCTGGAAAAACCATGAGCCTTTAGCTCTGTACCAAGGACTGCAAGGCCTTCCCTAACCCCAGATTCCTGGGCAGTCCATGAAGGCCTCTCCCAGCAGCTCTTGTGGGCCAGTCTCGATGGGATTATTACCTTCAGACTCAAGGTTCATTTTAATGTAGCGGAACACATCATTATTGAGCCTGCATCTTATGTTAGGCAGAGTCCCAGGCTCTGGAGACATAGCCTCGTGGTGGATTAAATCCTTTTGTACACCATGACTATGTATTACTATCATTGGCTAATAAAAGCTGATATTTTATTGGTAGCCAGGCCCCCCCTCAAAAAAGGAATGATCAAACTGAGGATACAGAGAGTAAGATGGGCAGGGTCAGAGAGTCGAGAGCAGCCGTGGAGAAGACAAACGTGCCATACTAATCAAGGTACCACCACATGGCAGAGCATAAATAAGGAATATGGGTTAATTTAGAATGCAGGAGCTAGTTAGTAATAAGCCTGAGCTACTGGCCAAGCACTTACAATTGATATAAGCCTCTGTGCGGTAATTTGAAAGTGGCTCCCGGGATGAGAAAACTCTGCCTATACAGTTTATGCTATGGTGAACCTTCAAAACGTAGACTCAGTGCTGCTCAGCTGGTAGAGAGCTTGCCTACCGTGCACGAAGCACTGGGTCTGGCTTCCAGCACTCCACGCATGCACCAGGAGTTGGAGCACATACCTGTCATCCCAGCGCTTGGGAAGCAGAGGCAGGGGGATCAGGCGATCAAAGTCATCCTTAGTAACACAGCAAGTTTGAAGCCAGTCTGGATTACAGGAGACGCTGTCTCAAAAAGAGAAACAACTGATCGGAAAGCTTACTGCCCAGAACTATTCTCATGAGACCGTACAGCCTGTAGCTCCATTCACGTCAAGTGTCCAGGATAGACTCCTTCAGAGACAGAAGGTAGATGAGTTTTGCTTGGGGGTTGGGAAGTGGCTGCGGTTGGGGGAGAGCTTCTTTTGGGGCCGATGAAAAGGATCCACCAGAGTGTTTGATTCATCAGCGAGTTGTGTAACTCGGGATACACTAAAGCCTCCGAGTCAGTAAACAGCAAACGCAGCGTACATCTCAGAGCCAGCTGTTCCATTTGGAAAAGACAGCCGCACCACAGCCTGAGGATCTCCGTGGCTGATTCATCTTAAGTGACGGTGACATCAGTGAGGATGCCATCCTTTTGTACTTTTTGTACTTCTTATCAAATCAGACAGGATTTAAAGCAAGGTCTGCATAAAGTGACCCTTCCCTTAGTTCTTCCGTTTCTGTCCTGAATTTACCCAAAACCCGAAAGTGAATGGACTCAACAGATACCATCCCTGTGCTCATTCTTATCGATTCTGATGGGACACGAATGCTTTACCTGGCCAAGTATCAGCAAGGATGTATGACCAGGACCCCACACTACTACAAAATGCCGCAGAAAATGTAAAAATGTGATGTCTCTGGACAGGTTCTGCTGCTCAATATTTAAAAGTCTAGGCCAGCACCTATTAAATAACCATATTGGCTGTATCATTAATAATAATACTATGGTCTCAACTATTGTTATTTTACATTTATTTTTAACTATGTCTCCCCCCACCGTGTGTGTATGTGTGTAGGTATGTGCATTTGAGTGTATGTGGAAGCCAGAAGAGTTGGACCCCCCTGCCTTGGAGCTAGAGTTACAGGTGGCTGTAAGTCACCCAAAGCAGGTGTTGGGAACTGAACTCGGGTCCTCTGGAAGAGTAGTATGCGTTCTTAACCACCAAGCCGTCTCTCTAGCCCCTCCAGGCTGTTGTTTGTTTTGTTCTGAGTCAGAGTCTCAGTATACAGCCCTGGATGACCTGAAACTCACTAAGTAGACCAGGCTGCCTTTGAACTCAAGGTCTCTATTTACACCACCACACGAGGTGACCTGTTGTTTTTAGAAAATGACTGTTATTCATTTGTTTCCTAACTGAGCATCAAACAAAACGGAGAAACATCAATAGTTTAAAGAGCACAAGGCGCAGGCTTTGTAACCACTGCACCTGATCTGAGGGGAAAGGAAAAAAAATAGGAGAAATAGTTCGCCTAGGTTATGAAAGTCAGCTAACACCAAATTAAATTATATTACCCAGAAAGAGAGGAAATGGAGGAACATCTTACTATTGCTTTGACAATGGGAAGTCCTAACTCTTAAAATAAACCTCTGTGTCAAATAGTAGGTGTGGCACGGACACACTGATGTGTTCTTGCTCTGCAGGTTACTAAGTGACAAGGGCTCTGGTGTAGACAGAGGGACCAGGGGATGCTATGGCCACCTGGCAGATGGCAATACAGTAACAGCTGTGAGAGAACCATGGGACACCTTAGTTACTTCATGTTTCTTCTGCGGTCAGGTTTCGCTCTCATTAGGAGTCTATATCCTGTTAGAATAGGTTAGTGCCTTCACCCAAGGAAATAAGGGAATGACCGGATGACGCACCAGCCTCTTGTCTTCAAGAAACTAAAATCCCAGTCAGACTCCAGCTAGTCCCACTGGTTTCTTATGTGCTCATTGCTCATGTGACGGTTTAGACAGCCTAGTGAGTGCTACTTAACCAAACACCAGTTGTAAGGCTGGTGAGATCGGCTTCTTAAGCTGAAAACTTAGAGCAGAAAAGAAAAATCAATAAGAACAATGAGCTGAGCAAGCAAAAGCCACTTTTCCCTCTTTGGCTTTTCAGAACAAGGTTTCTCTGTGTCGCTCTGGCTGTCCTGGAACTCGTTCTATAGACCAGTTGGGTTTGGCCTCAAACTCACAAAGATCCACCTGTGAGTGCTGGGATTAAGAGTCTGTGCCATCAATGCCCAGTCATTTCTCTGCAGTAGAAACCCAAAGGACTCATGCTTCTGCTATAAGCTGGGCAGAAATTAGTAGTGGTCGGATGAATGCAAGGTAGAGTTAGTGTCACAGGTCACAAGCCATGTGGGTGAGGCGGATCACTCATCCCCCCCCAAAGTTTCCTCATGTAAAATGTTCTTGCTCCCCACCCAAGGTTATGGTCAGAATTGAACATGGTGACATAAGTGTAAAACATGCCACATCTGTCACCTAGGAAATAGACAGGCAGATTGTCACTAGTCCTGGCAGACTACCACTAGGAAAACACTGGGCCAGTAAGATGGGTCGGTGGGTGAAGAAGCTTGTCACCAAAGCTGAAGACCTGAGTTTAATCTCCAGGGCCACATGATAGAAGGAGAGAACCATGCCCACAAATTGGCCTATGTCCTGCATACATACACACACACACAAGCCATATGCACACACATGTACACACGCACATACACAGGGAATGCATACATACATGTGCATACAAGCACATGAATCCACACACATAATCATGCACACATGTATGTGCACACAAAAAGACAAAGAAGCATGTTTATTTATCATTTCCCTGTACCACACTCTGTAGAGGTTTCTGAGCAGCACAGTAAAAGTCATGGCCCCATCTTAGTAAAGAGGCATGAGCATCACAGGTGGCAAGGGCTGCTGCCCCTCACAGTGTTGAAGGCAGGAACGATGGGAACATTGAGAAATGTGGAGGGGATACTGCGCGACAAAGGGGGACAACTAAGGAGAGAGTCCTGGGTCAGACTCATCACAAGAGGAGAGATGTGCTCCAGAGTGAGAGTGGAGGGGAAAAGGGGAGCCACACTGTACCTCAACTGCGGCAATTGAACCCTTGACTGCACACAGATGTAGTCATGCGCTAGGCTAGAGCGGACTGTATGAGGAGTCTAAGGAGTAAGGCTTTATTAATATTTCACAGGCCATTTTCCCAAACCAGGTTGATGAGAGGACCCAGGCTCAGGATGGATTTTTAGATGTTGTTAGTCTAGTTGGACACAGAGTGGGGGATTCATAGTAAGTTTTCAGGTAAATCGCTTCATCTGACATCCTAGTCAGATTTCTGTTGCTATGATCAAATGCTGACCAAAAACAACTTGGAGGGTGGAAAAGTTCAGCATCAGTGGAAGCCAGAGCAGAAGCTCGAGGTCTGCAGACAGGATCTGGACCAGAGAATCACAGGGATGCTGCCTACAGGTTTGCTCAGACAACCCAGGACCCTCAGGCCAGAACGCCCTGCCCACGGGTGGCAGTGCATAGAAGGAGTTGGGCCCACATAAATAATCAAGAAAATTCCCTATACACGTGCCTACGGAGTGGTGCAATGGGGACGATTCCTCCACTGAGGCCCCTCTTCCCCCGTGACTCTAATTTGTGTCAAATTTGTTTGAGAAAAACGAAAACGCACCCCTGGCAACTTTTAGAAGCTCCACTGAGAAGAGCAAGGAAGACAGAATCAGATCTGCATCCAGAAAATGGCCTAGATAAAGAAACACAAGAAATTCTAAGTGTCCTATACCTCACAAAATAGTTCTATTTACAACTATTTACAATGTACAGCCTCCTCCCAATGATGAATTCATGGCTAAAATGAACTACCACCTGCAAGATCAACAACAACAACAACAACAACAACAAAAACAAAATAATACATAAAAAGTACAAGAAAAAAATCATCAGCAGCAGAACAATAAAATACAGCAATGTTCTTTAAAAAAGCCTTCAAGAAAACACAACAGCAGAACTCTTGTATGAACGAATGGGGCTCATGTTTCCCCCCCGAGCCTCCCATTAACTTAGTTACTTGTGACTCATTTCCGTCTGCCTTCTGCTATAGAACTAATGATTACTGTATTTCCGTTTAATTTCTGATAGAGAATGGAAATTGATTTTCAGTTACATTGTCGAGAAATCCAAGGACCTGTTCAGCCCACTATGTGGCCATCAGTCACACTCCATAGCTGAAAGATGCCATATTCTCAAATACGGTTTTTGGTTTTGGTTTTAGAGACAGCATCTCATGTAGCCCAGACTGCCTGGCTCCAAAGTCACTAAGAGGCTGGCCTTGAACTTCTGATCTTCAGGCTCTACCCTGCAAGTACTGGGATAAAAGATACAGATTCCAAAATCTTAATAAAAGAAAAAGAAAAGGACCCCAATAATTTATATATGAGTGCTAAAATTATAAACTATATAGACCATGTCTTATATATATGAAACTAGTTTTATCTATTTACTTTTTTGGGTGTTCTTAAAACAGTACTAAAAATTAAAATGTAACTATTAAAACCATCAAAATTACCAACGTGTAATTACCACCTAAGAGACA